CTCCATCAGGATGCCTGATGCCGAGGACTTTGGATGTCCTTCACTTTGCTGAATAGACCGGCTGTACGTAGGGGGGGCTTTTGAAATAAATGTGGAAAATCAGGGTAAGACTCAAATGAAGAGCTCCCCCTCCCTGAAGAATCATCATCACCATGGGGCAGGGGGGGTCGGCACCATCGCTGATCTCAGGCCATTCATCAGCCCGTGGTTGAATTACGCTGAAGTAGGATCGTGGCCCCCTCCCACCCCCCAGCACCCAGTATGCCTCACCGCAAAGTGAAGTCACATCTACAGGGATGTCCCTCGCGACCCCAGTGAGCGTTCATTGGGAAACACGAGACCGGCTGTGTCTGCGCAAATGGACGTCGACCGTGTCATGTGACCTGTTCGCTCTGCCGGGATTGATCTGGCCGCTCGTGTGGCCTTCACGGAGATGTGAGCTTCACCATGAATAGAGGAGTGCCACTTTATTGATCCCAGAGGTGAAATTTGGTAGTTCTGACGTATCCCATCATGCTCTTCATGAGAGGCAGAAACAGACCTGTATATACAGGGAGAGATGGTTTTGGGGTCAGAGCACGGGGTCAGCCGTGTTCCAGGAGGAATTAGAGTTAGGGGCCTTGCTCAAGGTCCTAACAGTAATTAGATTATGGCATGAGGACACGAACCCACAACCTACTGGATGTGGACACAGAGCCCAAACCTAGAATTTTTGTGATGGGGGAGGGGCACGTAAGAGAGGCCATAATTCATACACAGGGACCAAGCTTGTAATTAGCCAATGATATGTTTTAAATTGTTGAGTGACAGGGGAGGGGGTGCTCTGTGAGCCAATCAGCTTTCAGCTGACGCTACACTCCATACCTCGACTAGTCCTCCTCTTTTAAATACTGAAGTATGTAGGAAGCAGGTGAAACATTGGATGTTTGTTTGTTGGCTAAAACTTCCCTCTGTCTCCATGGTGACTGTAGTAACCACCCTTCCCCCACCCCCACAGCTCATGTGGAAAACGAGGAGCAGTATACGCAGGCCCTGGAGAAGTTTGGGGAGAACTGCGTCTACCGGGACGACCCTGACCTGGGATCAGCCTTCCTGAAGTTCTCTGTCTTCACCAAAGAGCTCACGGCCCTTTTTAAAAACCTGGTGAGAAACCCTTTGTTTCTGTGTGTGTGTGTGTGTGTGTGTGGTGTTGTGTGTGTGTGCTAAGGGCTAAGGTCATGACCAGTTTTATCAGCATGGAATGAGGCGTACTACCCAGCCTGTGATTCCTGGGGAGGGGGGGGGGTGGCCTGACAGTCTCGTCCTTTAATAATTGTACATGTTGATCCCTAAAATATAATCCTCCATCTCTGAGCCCCTGGGGGGGGGGGGGGGGTGATTTCCCTCAGGAAATGTTTAAAGTGTTACACTCTATGCTTACCAGAATGCAGATAATTTAGTGTGTGAGGAGTTTTCACTTTTAGTTCAGAGAAATTGTTTTGTGCTGCATAGTGTTGGACAAAGAATTTTCCACAATTAAATGTGAAATGAGTCGTGTCTCACCGTGGAGCATTTACCTGCCCTCCAGCATGCTGACCCTTGTGTCATTGGCTGATTTGCATGGTCGAGCCTGGGGGGCGGATTGGTCGGTAATACTGTGCTTTTGCCTGTGATTCTTAGTGACCGCTACACCCCAGGGACCCTGGGGGTAGCAGACCGCGGTTTTTCATAGCGTCCCCCGGCTCATTCAGACTCGCACCTTAATCGCCAGGGGAAACCAAAATGGCGGATGGCAGGGTGAACTAGTGACCGGTGATGCATCGCGTCGGGAAGCCGATTTAATTGGCACCTTTTTTTTTCCCGCTCCAGTTCCAGAATATGAACAACATCATCACCTTCCCATTGGACAGCCTGCTGAAAGGGGACCTGAAAGGGGTCAAAGGGGTAAGTCTGTCCAAAAATGTGCCTTTTTATAATTCCATTCCATACATCCATCTTCGAATCATTTATCCTGGTCATGGACGCAAGTCTGTGCTCAAGAGAAGACGCTCCGCAGTGACAGCGTATGGTCGAGCCAGTGGCCTGGATCCGATTCCAAAACCGCGGTCCAGTTGACTTGGCACGGCCCACCAGCACCGCTGTGTCCGTCACCGAGACGCTCGCTTTAGTGGAGCCAACGGTCACTGAACCTGGTTCCGCTGAACGGTTAAAACCCAAATAAGCCTTCGGTAAACAACAGGCGTTGGACATTACTCACGGTTTCACACAGAGACATCCGGACAGCTCAATATAGCATTCAAACTATATGATATGGAGATCTATAGATTTATACCCTATTTAGCTGATGCTCTGGTCCACAGTAACCGCATGTGACCTCTTTGTGTTTTTTGTTTGTTTTTAATACACTTCATGGTTTAGGTAGTGTGATGCGTTAGCAAGTAGCGCTAGTCAGATACAGCAAAATGCTGCTTTTCGGTTAGAATGTAACAGCGCAGGTGAGGTTGCGGACATGCGGCTGCCGGCTCCTGCTTTGCTGCAGGCCCGCTCCGTTCTCCCATTCATTAGCAGCACGTGGCTGTCGGGCCGCGCCAGGAAAACGATGCGATTCAATCTTAATGTGGCTCGCTCTCTAACCGCGTGTCTGTCCCGTGTGAGGGAGAAAAGAGGTGCTGTTTTGACTGAGGGGGGGGGGGATCCAGGTTACCAGAAGGAACCGAGGCTGCTCATTATGGTTCCTCAGGCTCTCTAGCGCCAAGGTAGCATAGCTCTGCTTTCCTCATCGCCCTCTCCTTGCCTCTCCTCGGCACACAGACATAATCACTCTGCGAAAACCTCTGACACCCGCTAACTAGCACATGGCAGAATGAGTCTAGACCTTCCTACAGTAAGTGCTCTACGATTCAATCGGCCACAGGAAGTATCTGCCGTGATTACATAGTACATACGCCCCCCCCCCCCCCCCCCCCCTCCTACCCCCCCCCCCCCCCCCCCCCCCCCCCTTCCCCCCCCCCCACTCGCGCTGAATAGAGGGGCCAGCGCCATCCATTCAGTAATTAGATTCCTAGCCTTCCCGGAATAATAATTAAGGTGCCGGGGGGCTATCTGTGTAGCCTGTCCATTGTCACCCCCTCATCGATTTTGACAAATAAAACAAATAAGCAGGAAGAGGAGAGAATCGTCTGTGAAATGGCCTCGCTTGGGTTAATGACATCAGCGATAGGTCCGCAGTCCATGCCCTCAGCGTCTGCTGCAGATTTTCGGTGTGGCTGTGTTCAGTCGTTACTGAAAGGCCGGGACTGAGTGGTGTTTTACTTTTTTTCTTTTAAGCTTTAGGAGTTGGAAATGGTTTTAGGAACTAGCTTTTTGCCTTTCAGCTGGTGCCTTTGTGGCCGTCTGGCTGAACGATATCCTGCAGAATCAAATCCATTCTCCTGATCGCGTTTCTAAAACTGGACTTCTAAAAATAAGTATTACTTTGAAACAGTTTTGATTGTTTTTGTGTTTTTTTCCCCTGTTACATTAAGTAATTCCTACTTAAATTCACATCCGAAATTTAAAAAGGCCTTGTTCCTCCGGTTGAATCGTGCCGATTAGTTACCATCACCTGGGGGCTGTTTGGTTGAACAGGTTGTGAATTCAGACCCACCAGGCCAGTGTTACCACGGCAGCCAGCTTCAGCCGTGGCCCATGTGACTCCACTGTCTCCTCTGATTTGCTGTTGCAAGGATCAGATTTGTTTCCCCCTCTCCCATTGCCATGTCATCGAAGCAGTTTTCCCAGAATCCCATGGGGCAAGGGGAACATCGTGTATTTTTTCTAGCCAATCAGTCAAGGCATCATGCCTCATGGCATCTAAGTGGTTTTCGCATGTATGGCTGCAATGGTATCCAAATGCTATTGGACTAAAATGACCCAGTAAGGAATGGGGAAAGGAATGTAGCCTCGGGGGGGCTGCCAGTGCGGAATAACGGGAATGAGGAACGGCGACTTGGGTGTGAATCCTATTAGAGGCTTGGGGATCCGTTCCAGACAGTAACAGCTTTAAGTTCATGTTAGCGAGCATCAGCTTGCTCTCTGGGGGCATGCTTGGGTGTTTTTATTGTGCTGTATCCCGGAGGGGGTGGAGTCCACCAAAACTGGCGGGAAACCTGCCTCTGATGGCGATAACATCTGTCGCCTAGGAGATTAAACGGCATCGTATTTACAAGCAGGTGGAGCCGTTGGCCGTCAGAGTCAGTGTCCAGCCCGGGACGGAGGCCCGCTTTGCTCCGCCAGGGTAGGTAGCGGGGCTCTGGCACCAGTAACAGCATGTCGTTATAGCCGAGCAGCCCGGCTGAGTGCCCACCTGCCGTCCCACGGCACCGCCCGGTTGCCAAAACCCACCTCGTCATTCCGCCACGCTAGCTAGTCCATTTTTCACGGCGCATGTCACTTTCGCCATTTATCCAGCCCCAGGTTAGGCTGCCACATTTATAATTAGATTATTTTTAAATTATCTATTGTGATTCGCTTCCCCCTCCCATCACATGTGCACACACACCAATGCCTTCCTGGGCTCTCCATCACCTAACAGGCCGAGTCGCAGATTCAGGAAGCCCCTGCCTGCACACCCAGTCAGCCATGGGTTTGATCGGAATGGGAGGTGGGCGGGTGCTTTCGCCTGATTGGAGATAAGGTCCAGTCATGCACCAATCACCAGGCGTGTACTGCACCGTAATGTGAGATCAAAGTCGCTATGCTGTCGCTAGGGGAAACTGACGCTCTTCAGCCTATCCCGTGCCTGTAAGCCACTTACCGCCACTCGCGCTAATTTATTTTGCTCATTACCATTTATGGTAATCGGGAGTTAATTATTTATCCGCCAAAACGCCGCCTGATTTCACACTGGCAGGCAGCTGTTGAATGTTCCAGATTTATGGAAAACCCATTAAGTGGAGTCTCCCCGGCGGCTGGGACAGCTCTCGGACGCTTTCCTGGAACTGGTGAAACCCGTTGGCCACGCGGCAAATGATTCCGTCCTGTGAGCGTGTGTTTGGCCCCTGCCTCGTGCCGATCGAGGCCACTGGTGAAGTTCTGACGGCCCAGTCTCTCTCGCGGCATCGTTCCAAGACACGCCGCCATTTTCCAAATGTTTACCTCTTGGACAGGGGCAATTCTAAGATTTTTAATTTTTTTTTTAACGTGGGGTGCAAAAGAGCGACAACCATCCATAAAGAGGTGTTAGCCATGTCAATAGTGTTTTCAGTTCGTGACTGACGGGGGACGGGTCACTGCGGGAGCCAATCAATATTCTTGATTCCGTTTTGATTTATTTTGTCTTGACAGGACCTGAAAAAGCCCTTCGATAAAGCCTGGAAAGATTATGAAACAAAAGTGTAAGTGTTGACTTTCTTTACATTTCTCTGTTTGGGTTAAGTGTGCTATTTTTGTCTGTGTGTATTAGGTATTTCTAAAGAGTACAACTTGTGTGTGTGTCTGACCTTAACAGTAATGAGTCTGGTCATTGTTTATCACATGGTGTGCTGACGTCCAGGTTGCTGTCCAGCAGGGTGACGTAGCGATAATCAATTTGGTTAAAGGCACCTTGTCCATGTCTTTACCTGGCATAGTCTGATCTCAGATCAGTGCTGCTGAAGAATGTCTAGATGTCATGTACATTTAATTATGCTGTTACTTATTTAGCAAGCGCTTTTGTCCTAATTGAAGTACAAGCGAGGCGTAGAGTACATCACACATAGAGCACAGGCGTAGAGTACATCACACACACAGCAGAGGCGTAGAGTACATCACACACACAGCAGAGGCGTAGAGTACATCACACAC